TATTAAATATGATAATACATTGATAAGTAAGGATGTGTGGAACACACTTTTTAATTGTACAAAAGATAATAAACTCAAAATTATCCAATGGAAGATTATCCATAAAATTTATCCAAGTGTCAAATATCTAAAACAGTGTAAAATACAAGATTCAGATAAATGTAAATATTGTGATAATGAAATTGATGATGATATGCTATGCACTATTTTGTGAAGTGTAAAGAAGTTTTAAATATTTGGAACACCTGTGATTGTAATTGTCTCAGTGATAAACAAAAACTTGGTATTGAAAATTCTGCACAAGAAAAATATTTTAAAAGTGTGATTATAAAAAAAGCTATTCATATGTTTAAATGTGCTGAATGAGCAGGAAACTTTGAAAATGATATGTAATAGGGAAAAATCATTTTACAACATGTAACCTTTATATGTAAATGTATTAATTGTACTGAATATATGTTTTTGATTTGAAATATAGTTTTTTAATAAAAAAAATGGTGGGTTTGGGTGCTTTTTTGCTCCCATTTTTTACCCCATTTCTACGGTTGCCATGGCAACTATTAGGCTTTAGTAACCATGCCAACTTGATTTTTGAAGGACATCCACCTGATAGTAGTTGGGCCAGGTTTGATGGAAAATGGGCCTGGTTTGATATGCTGGCAGTGAGGCTGATTGTGGCAAGTAGTGAAACGGCAAAACAATGGTGGAGTCTTGTACTATAATTTTAAAATAGAGCTCTCCAAGAGAAATATTATCATGTAATGCAACAGGTAACTTATGTAAAAAAAATTTAAATTGATGTCATCTTTTTTGAATTATCTGAAATAAAAAAAGAATTTTAAATATAAAAAAGGAATGCAATACAAAGAGAGAATTGAATAATAATCACAAACTTTTAATATTACATGCTGGTATAAAGTAAAAAAAAAAAAAAGGTGGAGTCATACCATACGATTTTACACAGGACGCAGTTGTGAAACAAAATGGCAAAAAGCTTTTGAACTTTTAGGATTATATCTAAAGGTAGAGTATACCATTGATAGTGCTGACTTTGGATGTAATGGTCCCCAGTTAAACCAGTTGAGAGATGGACATCATTACTGGGGGTCATAACAGTACTCGTTCACGTTCAAGTTCTCACACAAGTGTTTTACACAGGCTGTAGCCAGCTTTTACCAAGGGATAGGAGCAGTTTTACCAAGGGCAAAGCTTTTGCCTAGGGAGGAACTTTTTGACAGTTTTGGCTAAAAAAACATGCGAAAAGTGCTCAGATTGGTGAGAAACTGCATCATTTTGAAAGAATCTCTTGGGGGAGCAGCAGCTCCCTTTAACCTCTCTAATGTTCATGAACAATACTAATTGTAAAATTTTCACATTTTTTATATTTCTACTATTCATATTGACCAATCCCCATTCATGTCATTTTAACAGGTCCCTTCATTACTTTACACCAGTGTTTATTAATCCCTTGTTTTCAAGTCGTATGTGCTTTTATTATTCAGTTTCACAATCTATTGTTTTGCCATGCCAGTTTTACATGTTTGCATGCTGAGTTTGTTTTGTGTAATTTTTTTGTTCCATATATGGTTTACACATTCACTCAATTGAGTTGGGGTGTTGCCCCATTACTGGTTAATGTTGCCTAGAGTTTGTGACTGTACATACACAAAGTATTTCAAATATATATTTTAGAAAACATTTTATAGTTGATTGCCACCCAAGGGTCTTCCACTCACCCATTACATAAACAAAACATGAACTCTAATAAAAATGCCAACAAGACTGCCAGGGAAACTTAACCTATGAATTGGACTTCGCCATATCACATGTATTAGTCCCGTGGCCAGGGAGGGGGAGGAGGGGGGGGGGGTTGAGAGACGACCCTCTCCCCTAGCCACATTTTCTGTCAACGTCCTGCAAATTTTCACCACTTTAGTACTTTTCAAGTGATGTTCGGATGATGCTTTCATTTAATTGCTTGCACTAGTGCTTTTTCTTGATTCCTTGCAAATCAAAAATTCATGCACATAAGGTGATCTAGTATTTCTTCACAGGACCCTGAAAGCTCTATTTGAGCTTGAAGTAGAAGTATTCATGGTATTACTGTTTGTATTATTAATCTCTATGGTTTTTCAATAGGCTAACTCAGTCAGTGAATGCAGGATTAAAACACAACACACATGAGTAATTCACGCACCTATGCATGTCATTATTGAAAAACATTGCCATCTTTTACATCGCTTCTAAATTATTTTTTTAAACATTAAGAGGTTCATTTTTTCAAAAAAAACTCAAAAACAAACTTCATGGAGTTCCTTATATATTTTACGTGATGAAACATGTGTTCAAGTACAATGTAACTTTGCATGAAAAATTGTAAAAAATGAGGGACGATGGTGAAAATGACGAATGTATTTTGAATAAGCTTGTTGATGGGTGGATTAAACATGGATTATAAGATAATCCAATTGATCTGGAAACTGTTCTTTGAACTTTTCTTGAAGATTATAGATTCGCCTTTCACAAGCATTTACTTTTTACAGCCAGAAACTACTCACAAAAAATTATCAACTGTCAAAAGTCTGTTGCGATACTTTCCCTGCTCCTTTAATTGCTGTTTTTACTTTCTGTTATATTCGAACATGACAGCATCTCATAAAGAAAACTGGAGTTTTGAACAAAAATCAGGGGTGAATCATTTAAAAATCGGGAGTTTTACTGGAAAATCAAGATGTTTCGTTGACTAATCGGGAGTTTTTAACGCAAAATCGGGATATATTATGAAAAATCTGGATATTTGACGAAAAAATCGAGATATTTTCATAAAATTGGGATAAAAATCGTAGTTTTTGAAAATCAGGATTTAAAAAAAAAATCGGTATGAGCAATGGGATATGACAGGTGAGTTATTTCGATAACTAAAAATGTTAAATCAACTTCGATCAAAAATAGAGGTCTGCGTCAAGTATTTCCGGTTGTACCGGACGAAAATACTGGACACGTTTCTGTACCCTGCATACGGTAGCTTGAATATAAGCAAAGTTGAGTAAAACGGGTTAAGTATATGTCCATCTTAAATAGATGAGAAATGGTTGGTCCGGGGCAAACGAGATTCAATTTTAAAAAATTGTCACAACTTTCATTTCTAGTACAACATGTACAGATTAGTTCATAATTTTATAATTTCTAAAATGGAAGTCAAGTAGCCTGAAATGTTCACAATTAGAAATAGGAAACAACAAAAATCACGTTTTAGTCCTAAGTGGTGTAATAAGTATACGGGAAGTGAAATAAATCAAATGTCAAAATTTCACCACCAACTATGAGCATCTATTGTAAAGTATTACAAACTTGCAAAAAATCATTGGCATTGAATGCAATGATCAATAATCAATCTGACTATTAATTTTTATAATCATATAGCAAGTGTGAGAATTGTTTATGCAACAAATAAAATAAGTGTTTTAAGTCACATAAATCATTCTGGTAACCAATATTGCCTAAACTCGAATGTTTTTTATTACTTGCTTATAGAGAATCTCTTTATGAATGTCAAGCCAATGTGGCTATGCATTCCTAAAATACAACAATATGTAGGAAATGTGAGTAATGGATTTGTTTCCATGGTAACATATATTCATTGCCATGATAACTGAAACAGTCAAAAATTTAAAGTCGTAACATGTCTATAGTAGTGTTGACAATAAAAATGTCAAGTCTATATGAACACTACTTCTTAAATTATTGTAAATGGTCACAAAATGTTAGAAGTCCACAGTAAAAATGTATAGTCAGTCTAAATGGTACTTTGTTAAAGAACGCCTAACGCCGACCGCCGATAACTGTCCACAAAAACTTGGAGTCTATAAAAATATGTTACCACTTCTAGTTGTGACATAAAAAGTTATACACGTTGAATAGATGGCACTAGAGTAAAAAATAACCGATGGACAAAGTAGCTTTAGAAATAGTATAACCCGCAAAGATCAACTATCCGCCTTGTTTTCGGTCATAAATATTATAACCGTATAAAATGACACGAAACAAACGTTTGATATTTATAATTTGAACGGTGTTGGGGTGAAAGTCAACCTATTTGCAGTGAAAGGGCAATGTTGATCAATTTAGACAGGGGTTTAATCGTTTAAAGTTACTGATTTATGAAGTTCTGATTAATGTAGTTATATGGAAAAACATCAGGATAATGGGAATCACCGACAATTCTATTACGTCTAGCCCATTTTTGTAGACATTAAACAATAAAGAAAAGTAATAAGGGTTGACATTAGCTGTTCACAGTAACGATTTATTGAAATCAAATTATCACAGGTGTAGATATTTACAAATAGTATGCTCTATTCTAAGATTCATTACGTATGTAAAAAATTAATTGTGATCGCCTTTATAGAGATAAAAATATGAAAACATGAACTGAACAATATTTTGGGCAATATTTACATTTTTGAACATATAACTAATATACAGAGAACATCATGTTTGATCATCCGATAGTGACTCATCTCATCAAAATTACAAGTAATAGAATAGAAAAAACAGTTACTTTCACATTCGATGGACTTTTGTGGTGAGTCTTGCATTTTAAAATATGCTATAGATGGTACAAGTAAAATGCAAAATTGGTAAAATGATATTATTGTACTAAAAATAATGAACATGGGATCCTAAAATATATTTTATAAAAGTCTACCAATGGTGGTGGATATTAAGGTTGTTATGATTTGACATGAAGGTGAATAACCCAGGTGCGAGTAGGTAGTTACAAGTTTCACCACCAGGTGGCTGATTCGGGTTAATTAACAAGGCAGGTACGTATATAAGAAAGGTCCCTTAAACTTGAATATTATCAGTTTAAGTGGATCAATTTTCAAATAATCCTCATGTATCTTATAATTATACAAACGAAAATATGTCCAGTAAAAGAAAATATTATCTGCCTAACACAAGAAAAGATAATTCAACATTGCTAGATGTAAATTTACATGTAGACTTTTAATATGATATCCCTTTAACTGAATTTTGAATATTTAATGAAGTAAATCAAGATGATTTCTACTCGCATTTAGTATATTGATTTAGCATCTTTTACAAAAGGTTTGTATAAATGGCAACTCGAATATTCCTCCGGTTGTAGTCTATTGTTCGAATTCTTGATTGTATCGAATGCCCGGTCTTGCAACAGATGGCGCTGTATATACAGATTCATTTCCGGTTCCGGCGTAATTGTACAAACTTCCCTCGTGTTCGTATATTTTCCACGTGATATAGGCGTCCCTGGCGGCAAACGATCCTGCAAGTCCCGAGGACATCCAACATACAACAGACATTCCCCACGAATAGCTGAGTCTCAGTCCGAAAAGACCCCTAGACTCCTCGTTGTACTTGAATGCGAAAATAACACTGGCAAAAAAGATCAGCACACCTTGAAAAAAGAGAGAAACATACAGAAAGTATATCAATGACATTATATCGCAAAAACAGGGGATTAAATTTGGTGCTTTCGAAAATCATTATATTTGTCATTTTCCGAAGCATTGGAATTAGAAAAAGGAAGATAGTTAAGAAACAAACAATGACAGAATATGTATTTCTTGTGCTATTCATTGAAAACTTCTTGTTCCCAAACTTATTTGGAGGTTTGTGATTACAGGGGTCAGTTAATACAGTATAGTAGAACCCAGATTTACTTTGAAATAGGTAAACAAATGTACACAATTCCTTGAAAATATATAATGGTGCCCATCCACTCCCCAAAATTCAATTATCGTATTCATCAATTTTTGCCAATATAAAGATGGCATTAGAAAAATCAAATTACTCTTTTTTCTAGATACAGAAATCGATTACCATGCCATCTTTATTTAATACTGATTTAGAGCCACACAAAAATGGGACAAAAATCCCTATAACACCATAATACAATTTTAGTTGTACTTACACGACACCCAGGAGAGGAATGAAACGAGCATGGCCAACCATTTGCTATCATCCAGCTTTCTGTAACAATATCCCACATAGATATAGAGTAAGTTGGCGATCAAGGCAAGGATGAGCGTAGAGAAGCCAAAGTTGGCAAACACTTGTGTCGCGACGAACCATGGGTGCATTCCAGGTGCTCCTGAAAAGCAAAGGTGAAGATTTTTTAATTAACCTTATTGTATATCTTACCAATACCGATTTTCAAATCATTCGAACACTGGCCTCCAGAACTCTGAACTCGTACTATGTACCACGTTCTTGTACGTAGTGGACAATGTCTGGAGCCCTGCGTTCAGAGGATGAATTTCAAGTTTTTAGTAATTATTTTCAATAAACTGTTCCTTTTTTGCCCAAGGGTGCGTCCCAAGTGCCCTTGAAAATCAAAATATGAAGATCAATCTGTGCTGATCCTTATTGTATATCTTTCTTTTATCATTCTAATAAGCGATGCTATTAATACAGAACAGATTAATGATCATTTAAGTTGGCATTAAACAGTTTAAAGTTTCCCTCTTTGAAAGAAACGACTTTTTTCCTTTTTGCTTATTATATCTTTAATACTAAGATAATAGATCTATAGGATTAGAATTTGTCAAAGATTGCCTTATACATTTTCGAGTCATTTTATCCATTGATTTCTAAAATATGGGGTGAATCAAACTATGCAATAAGATACATATTCAAACAATAGTATGATATCGATTTAAAAATCTCCATTTCCTGTTTTAAATTTTCAAAACTAATTGAAAGTCAAAATAAAGGAATTTTTAACGTTAGTTGATCCAACAACAGGAACAGGAAGTGACTGAATTGTTGCCCATGGATTATAAAAATAGCATAATATCTTAATCATACGTTTGCCCCAATATTATGATTAATGACACCTTATATCGTTGTTCATAGATGTCGCTGTCCGTTCCCGGTGTATACATAGTCGTACCCATACCCTCTTACCCATTTTCAACTCATACCCATTTACTCACTGTTTGTCGGTATGCCATCACAGACGGTGTAAGCTGTTTGAGTTCGACATCTGAACCACATTCCGTAAAACCACCAGGCCCCTTCATCCCATACCATATAGCTCATCCACTCTGGAGTCGCCATCATAACAATGTTAGCAATATTAGCGAGAATCAACAGAGCTAGCGTCAACTTTATGTGCATCGTACTTTCGTCCATCCCCGCCATTTTGGATTTTTTGTTTGTGAACCTCGGACGAATGAATTGTGAATGCGTCAAATCTGGTTTGTTTCCTTTCGATTTAACACTATGAGAGCAGTGTCGGTTACATTTCAATCATGTCGTGTTCTTTTCTTAAATCCTGATTGTCGTCAATTATGTAGTTATTTCAATTCCAGATTTCCTATTTTCGAAAATGGATGCCGTTGTATGGTTTAATGAGGTCATGTAATGGGATGGATTCAAAGTCAATCATTGATTATATTTCCTTATTTTGCCTTATTCTCACATCATTATAATTTTATTCAAATAAATAGAAATTTATTTACAGGGAATAATACCATTTTATAAACAGTCTCGAATTTGTCATATTAGAATAATACCCTTTTGTATCAATGCTTTTAAACACAGATGTGCTCTAAATCCGCCAATAATTGTCCTAAACATCACTTCAATAAAACGCAAGTTAATATTTAATCACTTTATGAAGATAATGCGTTGAGTCAGTTGTGGACTTTGATTACGATGATATACAAATAAACTATACTAGTTAATAAATAAACCAATCTCTTCACACATCGAGTCGGTGTTGTAACGGAGATAAGCGGATCTTGTGTAAATAGATGGCGCGTTTAATTGTTGGCGTTCAACATTACCGAGTTTGTATTTCTTCTTCATAGTTATATTAGATACACTAATGACGTTTATAGAAAAGAACTATTTTCAAATTATAATTATGGAGATTTTTTAAATATATATATATTACAGTATGGCCAGGGAAGATGAGCTTTTGCGGAAGCATGCGCAAAGTTACGCTTCGGTCAGCATATTTACGTTCCAAATCGCCAGAATTGACACTTTACCAAATTCGCAAGACTGTGTCTAGTGGATTAGTACATATTTGAGGATGCCTTTAGAGAATATTTTAAAATTAAAAAGCTCATCGTTGAGGCAAACCTGAGTTTCTTGGAATATCTTTTTAACTGGATTTCTAGCAAAAGAATTTTTGCATTTGTTGATGTAATTTCAACTCTTGTAATTTTTACAATAGTGTTTTTAAAATTCCATCTGAATAATGGACATTTTATAATACTGTGTATTTGAACACATCTAGCTGGCTCTTTTTGAAATTGTCAATAACGATTGATTGAGGAAAATTCACATGCATTAAATATGGTCAAATCCATTTCTTCTGTGGCTTTGTGCAAGATAGTCGACAACTAATACACGTAGCAATGTACATATCAAGCAAACTCAGTCTGTATACCTTATTTTTATGTCAACGCCAGAAATGGTGACATATTGTTATTGTTTCAACGTTTTTGTGGACAAGTTCGGGGGGTCGGCGATCAGCGTCTGCATGTTAATGCCTTGTTTTTATGTGTTATTACATCCTTTAATGTTCGTACAATGACCCTTTATCCCAAGACAAAAGTACACACTAGAAAACTGGTGAAAACATGTAAGCTTCGTGTTATTGATTACATTTGCTCCAAACATATGAACACATGAAATAATAGTCCTAAGATCATAAGCATCTTAATGAGTTTTGTTGAAAACTTGATATTAAAAAGTACGTCTATACTGGGCAAATTCAAAATAGGTGTCATGGTCACTATTTTTAAGGGTGGCGATAAGGATATTTTGAATAAAAATCACTTCCGATCCATGGCATTAATGACAACTTTTGCGAAGATACTTGTCGGATTAATGATCTCAAGAAGAGTGGCCGTTTTAATATGACATCATTTTAATTCATAGATGTCAAAGATCGTGCATCTCTCAATATTTCTATGCTATGAGAGCGACAATAGCTATCCAATTAAGAAAATGGTAATGGTGGGTTTTCGATAGCGTGTATATTTGATGGTCTACTTTGCATTATTTTCTTCATGAGTAGTATAAGAGCGTGTCGTTAAGGATAACTTGAACTGGATTTTTAGTAAAATGATTTTTTGCATATGTTAACATCCATAATAATTGTGTTGCGCTTTTCATGTTAACACTTTAAGTTCTAGTACATTTTACAAAATATCATTTTCCCGTTGATGCTGTTGAGTAGACATTCAGTGCGACTACAACATTTTGTTGTATATGGGTATCTAGAACGAGGACCATGTTGTTTAATAAGAGTTACTAGAAACTTGTGTAAAACCCTAAGAAATCTTGAACCAAGTTCTGTAATAAAAATACAGTCTCTAAAAAGTATAGATCATAATGCGCTCTATAATTATCAATTTAAATGCAGCTCTTTCACACTAGCTAATAACCAATTAAGGAAAACTATGTTATATGTCAGGCGTTTCATTTGTCGATTATAAATACACTATTTTATTTGAGATTGAGAACCCTTAGGTAGGATATCCTTGAATAGTCGCAGATATATCAATCATGAATATTTTTAATTCTAAATTTAGTTAATATAAAGCATGATTACAATATTGTATTTATATCCAACATACAGGGTGGGCCAAAAGACTATAATCAGAACACCTCTCAATGTGAACACATCTATAATCAGAACACCTCTCAATGTGAACACCTCCATAATCAGAGCACCTATCAATGTGAACACCTCTATAATCAGAATACCTCTCAATGTGAACAGCTCTATAATCAGAATACCTCTCAATGTGAACACCTCTATAATCAAAACACATCTCAATGTGAACACCTCTATAATCAGAACACCTCTCAATGTGAACACCTCTTTAATCAGAATACCTCTCAATGTGAACACCTCTATAATCAAAGCACATCTCAATGTAAACACCTCTATAATCAGAACACCTCTCAATGTGAATGTGAACAATCTTCGTTTTCAACCTTCCTCATGTCAAAAACATGAAATGTGAACACCTATGACACCTGTCAATTTCAATACTACTTTTGTCTGGTCCAAGTAGCGTTCGCATTAGAAAGATGTTACTGTGCATAACGTTTTCCATATTACAATGGTCTGTTTGAAAAAACACAATACTGAATAATATTTGAAATACTTTACACATTACTTGTTAGTTTGAAGCACATGTGATCCTTAAGCAATTTATATATTGAAGCTGAAAAAATATAACCTGATCATAATCGATGTTTTTTGGACTGATCAATGACTCCACCTAGTAAATAATATACTTCTGGGACAACCCTCGTTCATCTTCTTTGCCAAGGAGGATTGGCTCCCAGGGTTCCAACTCGATATTCTGCCATATATGGAGATGTCGTAATTACAAAATCAAACAGTCGCCATTTTGTCCACTTCAGAAGTTGAATCGCGCATTTTGGTCTTATTTCCAATTAAAAAATTTAAAAACACTCAAGAAGTGATCGTGATATTGGTTCGAATCTTTTGAACTGTTGATTATGAATTTATTTTCAGTTATAGTTTCAGAAAACAACGACATTCTAACATTTTCATTGGTGGAAAATATCGAGTTGTGTCCCTGGGAGCCAATCCTCCTTATCTTCTTTTCAATACTTAAGACCAATCGATGTGGCACTCTATCAGTTAAATTATCACTCTTTAGGCTACTGGGGTCTCTGACCTTTCCGCATCAAATATTTCTTAAAACTGTATAAGATGTTCAAGAGTTTCGATATTTGTAAAATGATTTGTTTAAGTTCTACCCAATTAGATATGTTTAAGAAAAAATTAAAATTTGTTACAACACTAATAAGATACACCTACGCTTAGCCACAGAGTCTAGATAACTCTACAGAAGAAGCATTTCTTGAAATCAAATTATCGATCAGGGCATGCGCAGAGAGAGGTTGTCTTCTTCACCCCCCCCCCATTCCAGCAACACACGTCATGTGAAGAATTATAAAAAGAGGCACAAATTGTTTCCACCCCTTCCACAAGGCACATAGCCATAGTTAAGTTATGACACTATATTTAAAGAAGGGACATTAAAGAATTAGAAGCGTTACAATTTGTACTTAAAAATTGGATTCATTGATGAATGCTGACTGTGATTATTGATAGCATCAAAACAAAAACAATTCCTTTCTACTGTCTCTTCTCTGTAACATATCTAGAAATGTCGTTGTTCTTATAACAGGCACGTATTTTAGAATATGCCATTACGACCCCGTGCGGTAAATCAGAACAGATGTCAAAAGTCGTTATAATCTCTAGTGATTATTACATTTCTCCGTAAAAACGTGAAAGTGGAAAATTGATGTCTCCACATATGTTCGTATTACCTCTTTACTACCTTCATTGAGAGTAACGAAGAGGTGTTAAGCCAGCTCAATTACAAAAGTTGTCATTTATTTTTCTTAAGACAAGCAATTACTGGGCCTACTAGCCTAGGTAAATTAATTAAGAATCATATGTAAATCTATATCATCTATGGATGTAGCCAGGTATAAGACGAGGTGGTTACTCGTCTTTGGTCTAGGGGTGTTTTACTTTCAGGCCCGTGGTCATTAAGGGAGGGGAGGGGGTCATGGGGTGCGAACGAACCCTCCCCCTGGCCCAAAATTATTTCAAAATCATGCAGTTTTTTACCATTTTGAGGACTTTCAAGCTAGAGGTTTTGAGCAAAAGGGTCGAACGTGGCAAAAGCTGGCTACGTGCCTCGCTTCTGTTCAGTGAATTGAAAGAAGCATTTTGAGGCGGGACGGTTCGGCGATTTGTCTGTTTTGTTTCAGAAAACGAGAATGTTTGGCATTCATATTTGTATAATTAGTTACTTCATCAATTTCTAAAATTCACAGAAAGAAAACCCTTCAATAAAATGTCAAATATATTTTTTCCATTTCTTGAAATCAATTTAGACTACGTGAACATGTTTATTTTATTATTGTGGGCAAAAATATTTCTTATCGAGAGACAAGTAATAAAATGATAATTACTTGTCAATTAGAATCTCACTATTGTTATGGGAAATCTATCCATTCAAAAGATTAGACGAAAATGGTTCTTGAAGCGTTGAAGTTTTTCTTTAATGTTTTGTGTGAATCTGCTGTATCTGTGGCAACCTACCCGCATTTTGTCAACCCGCGTTTTATTTCATCTATGCCTTTGTAGTCAATTGCATATGATTAGTGCCGCAATTTGTTATGATTCAAAATATCTTCAAAATCGCCTCCACTTTAGAACAACTCCTCCTTAATCCCATTAAATAGTATCATGCAGATTAAGTAATATCAAATATTAATCAAATTAATATTATTAATATCAGGTCAAGATAGATTCTTCATCCTCTTGGGG